ATCCCACATACAGACCGGTTCCCGCTCACTGGCTGAGCGAGGTGCAGGCGCAACACCTAGGCTTGCGATCCCGCTGCCGGTCCCAGTCCGGTACGGGCGCAACACTGAGGGTTGAGATCCGTTGCCGGACACGAAAAAAGACAAAAAAAAAAAAAAAAGAAAAGAAAAGCGTGTGTAATACAATTGCATTTCTATCAAATGTATTATGTACTTGATGCACTTAATATATGCAATAAAATCACGTGAAGTTCATACACGAAACTGTTTGCATCGCTTATTTCCAGAATGTGAGATTTGAAAGGACTTTGGTTTTTCAAGTCCAACAGTACTGTAACATTTAATTTGTTTCTTACAATGAACATGACTTACCTTTTTAACCAAAATGTAAATAAATTTTTTCACCAAAGGAAAAAAATTTAAACTTTAATAAGCTAATTATATCTTCTATGAAGTTTGAGGGAAAATATTATATTTTTCTTTTAGACATGCTCTATTAACCATATTTAACTGCTATAAATAAATTTTTTCACCAAAGGAAAAAAATTTAAACTTTAATAAGCTTATTATATCTTCTATGGAGTTTGAGGGAAAATATTATATTTTTCTTTTAGACATGCTCTATTAACCATATTTAACTGCTAGGTACAATTTCTACTTACTATTTTGTTGTTTATTTTTTTTCTTCAGTATCATGGGATTATATGCTTCAGTTGTCCTTGTGATTGGGAAATTTGTCCGTGAATTCTTCAGTGGGATATCTCACTCCATCATGTTTGAAGAACTCCCAAACGTGGATCGAATTTTGAAGTTGTGCACAGATATTTTTCTCGTCCGAGAGACAGGGGAACTGGAACTGGAAGAAGATCTCTATGCCAAATTAATATTCCTGTACCGCTCACCAGAAACAATGATCAAATGGACTAGAGAAAAAACAAATTAATACTTTAGGACATAGACTGCAAATAAAGTTAACATTTGAGGTTTTTTTAAAAAAGCACAATATTCTCGTCAGAGCTAAGCATTTCTACTTCGATGGAAATGGTTTCTCTTCTGACAGGTGGCCAAAGCTACCTTGCAAGTGGAGGCGCTGTTGAAGTTTTAATTCCATTTCTCTCAAGTCAGGGCTACTGGCTTTATGTTTGAGTCAGCAGTGTCTTGCGTGCTGATGGATTGTGTAAGGAAGCATTTGCAGGTCCCCTTCCTCAAAGAAACAGAAGAAATAAGAAGCAGATGTGCCCATGTTTGCTCTGCGGGGACCGTGCCTTCCTGGAGAGACACTGTGATGCAGGAGACCCTCTCTCGCCATGGGAGCAGCTGCGCCATGAGAGTAGATGAGCCTTCAGCACAGTCTGCAGCAGGATCGGAGGCTGATGACTCCTACACGTGTCTGTAGGCGGAAGAGAGAGAGAGGGAACCAGTGACCCTGGAGAAGCCCGTGAAAGGATGTCTCACTCTAAGCAAAAAGATAACATTACTGACACTCTTACTGCCTTATCTTACCTGAAGACTAAAAACAAATCTTTCCATTAAACACCAGTGACTTCTCAGGAAAAAAAAAAGCAGCAAAAAAAAATGTGGACACCTGCTTTGTTGGGGTCCAATGGTGACTCACCTCAATGATGACGATTGTCCTGCCCTGAGAGTTACTGCTCCTCATGAGAAACAGACATGCTATGGAAAGAGAAAAGGCCAACCCAGTTGGATTTGGAATGCTTTAGTAACTGCGGTCACCTGCTCTTCTGCCTCCCCCCACCCCTCAACTTGCTTTCTCCCATTCCCATGATTTAAGGCAATGGTTTTTCCAGTATGTGACATTCTCCTCCCTGTTTTTCAGGTATATCAAAGAGTTTACATATTCCAATTCACATTTTTACATCTGAGACGGGTTTTTTAAGTTCATAATTATGAGAGAAATATGTATATTGAGCTTGGGGAAATAAAAATGGCCTTTTCTTAAATTATTATTACTGGTAATACAACCTCTTCATTAAATAACAATGTAGCATGAAAAATTTATGATTGAAACGTAGTTTTCATTCCATATTAAAATACAGTTCCTGAGAAGAATCATTGAATGGGCTAGAATATGTCAAAAAAATTATTCTATGTAGTTTGGGTTTAGGGCTGATTTAAAATAAAGCACATCTTGCAAAGTCATTTTAAGATACTCTTTTCTGCCTTTTTGCATGAAATAGGAAAAGTGATTGTTTTGAACACAGTGTACAAAGAGTTAAAAAAATCAACTGAAATAAGAATCCATTTCTTGTGGTTTTCTTTCTCATGTGGGTGCTCTACATGAATAACACAAGCAGGAAGCAACCAGTATCAAAGTAATTTTCAAAGAGGAAACTATTATAGTGAGGATAGAGTTTAAAAAAAAAAAAAGAGCTCAAATGATGTTCAGTGTCTCCTAGAGAATTGGTTGGTGCGTATTTGTTCTTACACTGTGAAAGCCAGCATGCTTCCACCCTGCTGGACAAACTGCTTCCATCACTGTAACGGTAAACTCGAACCACTCAGTAGAACTCTGGGATGCCACTCTGATTTCCTGACCACAGGAAGAATCATGGTGCATATATCTGGGTGTGAGTTCTTTCTTTTAAAAAAGTCAACAAGGAATTTCCAAAAGCAAATTATAACATATTTAGGCAAGGAAAATGCTCATGAAGCATACAGGTCAAAGAATACCAGAACTGAAATATTCCTCAAGAGCACAGTTTTCAGGATTCAAGAAAGAAGCCTGCAGGTACGTAAGAGGGGAAATGTTGAAGGAAAAGCTTGTTGACCAAAGCACTCCTTCGGGAAGGTGTATGCTGGCTTCTAGTCCTGGTCCGGTCACTGTCAGGCTGGGAAACAGGGCGAGTGGGTCTCCTACCCTCCCCAAACCTCATTTGTCCGACAGTATGAGGGCTCATCCAGCTTTAACCAACAGTGTCCTGAGCCTCCAAGGTGCCAGGCCAGGCCAAGGAGATGCCCTCTTACCAAAGCAGGCTGCTGCCTCAGGTGGGGGTCTCTGAAGAAAGGCTCTGAGATGGGGAGCCACACGAGGACAATCAGGCATTACACTGGTCATTAGGGAAGGTAGGACTCAGCACAGGGAAGGGCCACCCCAATGTGCAGCTGCAACAGAGCTTCCCCACCTGGCGGGCTCGGGAGCCAGTATTCCATCCTTGTCCTGAGCCAAGCTGGGGTGTTTGGATCCCACATCAGTGAGTCATTGCCCCAGCCACCCCCTCAACCAGGCAACTCCCTGGAGGCTGGAGGCTATGGCCTTTGACATGGGTCATCCTGTGACCCATGAGCATGGCGTGTGTGTCTGCAGAGGGGATTGGAAGAGACCACCATACCTTACTGCCTGCCATGGGCCACTCAGGTCACTGGGTTCTTATTCTAAGCCTGTGACGTCTTACCCTGCGGGAGGAGAGTGAAAGGAAGTGAGCCACAGCCCCCTGCGCAGCTGCATTCCAGACCATATGTGCCAACCCCATCCACATCCCCCTCTCCCCGCCCCACGTGGATGCCAGGCCCTGAGGCATGGCTCTGCTGTCCAGGCAGCTGCTGGGGCACCGACGTCCTGGCCACAAGCTGTCTGCAGGGTGTGGGGGCTGCGCCACTCTCCGTCGTCCAGCTGAGCAGCCCTGGCACCGCACCCCCAGGTGTCACCCAGTGTGTGACACCTGCCCTTCTCTTCCAATGACCTGGTCACCTGCCTCTATCAGCAAGGTGACCCTTCCCTGGCCACATCTGTGGTGTTTATCCACCTAGTGTCCTTCTAGTTTAGTCATCCCTGTAGAAATCATGATTTCTTTTTTCACCAATTTCTTCCCAAATTCTACCCTTCATTTCTGAGTTTCCTAATTCTGATTTCTATTGTTTTTTGACATCTTCTATTGTTTTCTTAATTTATTTTAGCTCATTTTGAACTATTGGATCATAGTTTTGACCCATCTGGTGAGTGTATTTCGGTCAGACATTCATAGTCACCGAGAACTCGATCCTGCTGCTGTTCCCTCTGTGCTGACGAGCATTTGGTGCTGGATCTAAGCACAGCCTTTCCTGCTGCTCCTTTGCAGGGGCGTTCGCTTTCCTGACTTTTAGGGTGAAGCGCCTCTAGCCTGGTGGCTCCAGGCCCCGCTGCTGTGTGTCCCTCTGATGTTGGGGCAGCCAGCCAGGCCTGGGGGTGCGCCTTCCTCCCCGCCCCTAGGCTGCCTTGCAGCTGCAGCTCAGCTCCCCGGCCAATGCCTTCCCCTGCAGCTGCTCTTTCATCCTGGGAGGGAGTCTCAGTGGTCACTTTTGAGAGCTCACGGGCCCAGCGCCACCTGGCCCTTCATTTCGTGCCCAAGCCCTGCCCTCACCCACTAGGGGGGAGCCCTGAGCCCTGGCATGCAGGGCCACCACGTGGGGACCCGGCCCAGCCCCTCGCCTTCTCCTCCTCCTGCGGAGGGGCCGCCCCTACTCACGCCCTGTCACCCTTCCGTGTCTGGGGTCTGTCCTTGCTAGCCTGGTTCTCACCTGGGTTTTTGTTTTGCGTGTGTCGGGAGAGGAATGGGGAATGACTGAGGAGGCATGTAATCCTAGGCCGCCAGTGCCCTCCCCTGCCCCGAACCCATCTAAACATGGTCTCCAAACACAGTGTTCACGGAAGGAAGAACATGTTTAATTTCACGGTCGGAGACAACACTCTCAAGTTACATTGGTCTGGTTAAATGGGTCAACCGTCGACACTGTCTGGCCTGAAAGTGCTTTGGTGCAATCAGAGCAAACGACTGGGCCTCAGTGCTCAGGTTGTTGTGAGTAAGAGGTTTTTTTAAAAAAATAAAATACTATTCTTAACGAAAGAGTTATTTTAAAACATAGGTATCTGTGATTATGTTTCCACTTATTTGGGGTGGGGGTCGAGGTTGCCTATTTTTTATCTACAAGTATTTTCTTAGTACAGTCACACACTGCTTAATGACAGGACACGTCCTGAGGCATGCGGTGACTTCGTCGGTGTGCACACCACAGAGTGCTCTCACAGCAGCCCGGATGGCCAGCCTTCTCACCCTGGGATGTGTGACATAGCCATTGTGATCTAATGCGACCACCAGGTACATGTGGCCCCTTCATTGATGAAATGTCATTAGGTGGCAAGTGACTGGTGCTTTCACAGAGAGGCTGGTGATCTCCCCTGTTGTCTCCCTGCTTTCTAGTTTATACATTTCTGTTTGCATCTTTTTATTTCTTTTTTTTTTTCTTTGTGTTATTCTGTATTCTTTTTCTGACTTTTTGGGTTAGGAACATAGCTCACTATTTTTTTCCTAATGTAAGCATTTGAGGCTATATAAAGGATGTCCCAATTCAGAAGTATAAATTCTCCAAACTTACAGAAGTCATCACTTGAAAATGTAATTATTTAAGTGTCCCACACTTACTCAGCTTGGTGGATTCGGGTATTACATTTTGGTTTTTATTTGCCATGGGAGACAGTGTCTGCACTGCTGTCCCCTGGGTGTGGGGGACGAGGCCGTCACTCACCAGCCCTGACTCTGCTAGAACTTCCGCTGTGGCGTGTCCTTCGGACGATCCGCATTTGCAGCCCTTTCCGTTGCTGCCGCTCAGTTTCGCAGTTTGGAAATTGACTAGAACCACTAGCACAAGAAAATGGTTATTTGAATGTCAATAAGAAAGATATTAGTATCTTAAATTTTAAAATTATTGTCCTTTTCTAAGTTTGTAGTACTCATACTTCTAAAAACGTCACAGTTTAAATCTGCAGTCAGACTTTTGGGACCTTCCATGTTTTCTCCCACACAGACTGAACTCTATACGAGAGGCCTTGACGGGGCTGTCACAGCAGTCCAGAAGCAAGGCACATGTAGGTATCAGGAGGGGACCAGACAGGGAGGAAGGACAGAGAACCGCTCACTGAGGGAAGGACGGAAAGGGCCTGGAGGGAAGTCAGACAGACAGAGGGACTGCCGAGTCGTCCTAGCACTCAGGAACTGGTTAAAACGGTTCCTGCCTCTCCCACCAGACCTTCTGCCAGCCGTGAGAGCCAGAGAAAGATTGCTGGGGACAGGTTCGAGAGCTGCTAGAATAACAATAATAGTATAAATAACAATCAGCCTTAGCTCCTATTATAATGTGCCAACATAATGTGGCCTGTGCTAAAAGCAGGAGGAGTTGGAAACAGAGGTTCAGACCCTTGCCCGAGGCACAGGTGGGAACAGGACCTGGCTTGTTTCCGCTGGCAGCCAGCCTGCCCTTGACCCCAGCCTTCCTATGCACAGCGTCTGCGCTGCAGCTGCCGCCATCAGCCTCCACCTGTCCCGCCGAGCTCTGGTAGGTGAGCACCCCACCTGTCAGGCCGCACCCGCACCCACACTCCCAAATGCCTTGGTGGATGGCCGATGTCAGGTTGGATACTGTTGAGCAGTTTTTCATCTGTCGCTGTGCCTCCTGCGGCATTTCTCTCCCAGGCTACCAGGCCGCTGGCAGGGAAGCGTGTGACAATGAGCTGCATCGCTTCCCACGCAGAGGCATTGACATCTCAGGTGATGAGGGCGGCAGGGGCGACTCGCACTCTACTCCGCAGCCTGCTTTCCCTCCAGCCACTTGACTCTGAGGTCAGAGCATCAGGTACCTGCCAAACCTCCGAGCATTCTGAGAGGCGTAGAGAGGGAGGGACATCCCGTGGCTAAACCGCCACCCAGGCCAAACGTGGGCAATTGAGCAACCCTCCAAGGAGTCTTAGGATCTCTCAGTTTTTGTACTTAAACAAAGAATCTGATTTTTGTGTTGGATGGCCTGGTCCTTCCTTATTCCCAGAACTTCTCATCAATTAGCTCACATGACTAAAATAATGCTTACAGACATGAGCAGTATAGACAAATACAACTATTAAAAGCAATGATTTTTACAGATTAGATTCTAATGTCTTCCCTCTCACTATCAAAATGAGACTTGGGGAACATCATTTGACATTTACAGGTGGCTAAACCTAATATCGCCTCCCCCCCCCGTCGCATTTCTCTTGCACTAACAGCAGCCATGCATGCTTCGAAGTCATCAGTGTAAGGGAAGGCAACCTCCAGCTCTGCTCTGTCCCACCCACCTGGATAAGCCAAGCCTGGGGTCCTCCCTGGTGTGGGTCACTTGGCTGTCAACCACACATG